GCACGAGGGAAAGGGAAGTTGTGCACGGAGCTGGCTCCATCCCTGGGGCTATGGACCACCAGCATCCTGCCCTGCCACTACCAGGGCTCCCCTTGGCGTGTTTCATCTGATGGGAACAAACTTGCCTGCAGGAACCTGCCTCGTGATCCAGCTTGTTGTTGTCAGCTAAATTGGGTCAGTAGTGAGGATGAGCTGTTGCTGGAAGGCAGGTTCACATCACAGGAGCTGTGTGCTCCTCAAGCCCCTGTGCCAGGCCCTGGCCCTGCCTGAGGGTCAATGGACACACGTGAACAGGATAGAAGCTGACCCCAGAGTCCATGGGGAGTAACCCCAGTGTGGGATGGGCTCCAGAGGAGCCTTTGCACGTGGTTTGTGCACAGAGTGTCAGAGCAGTGCCTGTGCAAAGTGTCCTTGATGCATTAATGCCCTCCCTGTGTCCCCATACACTGCACATGGGACCCCCATTTGGGGGATCCCTGGCTGGGGCTGTGTGGGAGCAGAGGGGGGATGTGGGGGCAGCAGGGCAGGAGGGGCTGTGCCAGCTGCCTGTGGGCACCAGCTGCCCACTGTACACTCCTAACAGGGATAAATCTTTTCCAGTGCTACAGGAGCAGAGCTGTGTGCATGGAGCTGTGCAGAGCTTCCCCATTCCTCCCTATCCAAACTGGTTCATCTGGTGGTGGCAAAAAAAAAATAATTCAGCTCTGAATTGTGCCAGCCTGGAGCCAGGAGCTGCAGCTGGGGGATGCAGCAGGACCAGCACACCTGGGGAGGAGATGGGAACCTGTCCCTCCACAAACCTCCACACCAGAAAAATCCAACTGCTGCTGACTTGGAATTGGATTATTGATTCTCTGGAAGGGCCAGTGCTGCAGATCACTGCCTGCTGTCCCTGGAAAATCATCTCTGGAACCCTGGCAGCACCCAGTGTGTCCTGGTGCAGAGCAGAGAGGAGCTGCAGGAGAGCACAGGGTGAGTGGGCAGAGAATCAGGGAATTGTTTGAGTTGGGAGGAACCTTAAAGCCCATCCAGCGCCACCCCTGCCATGGCAGGGACACCTCCCACCATCCCAGGCTGCTCCCAGCCCTGCCCAGCCTGGCCTTGGGCACTGCCAGGGATCCAGGGGCAGCCACAGCTGCTCTGGGCACCCTGTGCCAGGGCCTGCCCACCCTCACAGGGAGGAATTCTTTCCCAAAACCCCCTCTAACCCTGCCCTCTGGCACTTGGAAGCCTTTCCCCTGACCTGTCACTACATGCTCTGGTCAGAAGCTCCACACAAGATTTCTTATAGACCCCTAAGACACTCAAAAAAGCAAAAATCCAGAGCTGTGCAAGGGGACAGAGCGGCTCCCAGCTCTCTCACATATCTCAGGGGTCAGTTCAGCTCACTGAACCAGCAGAAAACATTGGAAGGTTGGAACATTGGAAGGCATTGCCCTTCCTTGCTTCCCTCTCTTCTTCCAGATGTAAAACTCAGAGAAATCAGTGAAAAGATGTCCTGATTAAGGCAGGTGCTTCAAAAATGACCCACTGCCCACTACCTGCCAGGAGACATCAGCTCCAGCACTGCAACCCTGCACGGTGGCCAGATGGTTGGGATTCATCTGGGAAATGCTGGAAGCTTCCATTACTCTTTATTAGCAGCCCAGGAGCCTGCTTGGGCCACACAAGGACTTGGACGACAAACTGATTAAAGACCAACCTAACGAACTCAAAGAGAATTCTTTAAATGGAGCCTGCTGTGCCTTGGAGAACTCCTGCCATGTCTATTTATTTAAATTTAATGGAATTTTTGTGGTAAGCTAATTAAAAATGAATTGATTATTTAAGAGGCAGTCAGAGCAGTTTAAGCACTGCTGACTTGATGATTTTAGTGTTTTCTTTAGAAAAGCATTGCTAGCTATGGAGCTTTCTGCACGTACAGACGTTTAAGGGCAAGAAAAGGATAAAAAGAGGGGAGTGGATGAGTTTGGAGCAGTTTCTGGATTAGGGAGCAGCCATGGGGAGGAGCAGGGGCACATCCCAGCCCCCATCACAGAGCTGTGCAGCTGCCCTCAATAAACAGCTCCTGTCTGTGCTGAAGGCAGAGACCTGTCAGGAAATAAAGGTATTAAATAATGCACAAAATCCCTGTGCAGGGAATATCCTGCTCTGGATGCATTTCAGGCACGGTGCATTCCCTGCCTTCCTGAGGAGCACAGTGACCCCAAGCAGGACAGCAGACACTGGATGTCTCCATGTCTCCATCCCAAAGGATTTGCAGAGGTTCAATGGATGCAGGAGGCTTTGCCTGGCCCTGGAGGCACATCCCAGAGCAGGAGCAGAGTGGATGTGATGGCACCAAAGCTGAGCTCCGTGGCCCCCAAGCTCCCCAGCATGGCTGAGCCACATCCTCTGCAGCACCATAAAACAGTGATGGGCTTAATAAACTGGGCACAAAGGCCAGGAGAGTCAGATGGCAAAACCATCCTGCCCTGAGCTGTGTTTACTTGTCTTTGGCTGAGAAAGTGAGGAACCACAGAGGGGAAAGGTCCCAGCCCACACTGGCATGGCAGGACAGCAGATCCCAGCAGAACTTCCACCACCAGTTTATTGGCAAGGACTGGTTTTCCCTCCAGGTGCCAACTGGCTCTGCTGGACTCGGCTGCAGGTCAGAGCCTGGGCTCAGCCATGCCCAGCTGGGCTCAGGGCACCTCCTCAGGATGCTCCGGTCCCGCAGGGATGCTCATCCCCAGCAGACACCGGCTCCCCGCTGCTCTTCCCACCCTCAGATGGATGGCACGGGGTCATTGTCCCCTGGGAGGTGAGCAGAGGGTGTGGGTGCTGTGGCGCTGCTGGGTGCCCTTCCCTCGCAGTGCAGGACAGGGTGGCACGGTCCCCAAAGGTCCCTGCACCCCAGGCCATGCTCTTGTCCCCGGAAGAGGGAAATTATCACCCGAAAGGCTGTGAAGGAGGGAGCTCCGGCCTGGTTTATCGCCCAGTCGGGCACCTATAGACATGCAAACGGTGTCGCCCTGCCCTGCGGGCACCTATAGACATGGAAATGGCTGTCACTGAGCCCATCACCGGCCGCTATAGAGATGCAGCTGCCATCCCCACCCAGGTGTCCCCACTCCCTGTCCCCGCCCAGGACACCTCCCGGTCCTGTCCCTGCCCGGCTGGGGTGCCCTCAGCCCTACTCCCAGGTTACACCGTGTTGTAAGGCTGTAGCTGCCGCCACAGAGCTCCCGATGCTGCTCCGGGCACCCAGTGCGTGGTGGCTGTGGCTGATGGACCCCGTCCCCCTGTCCCGTTGTCCCCTTGTCCCCACCGGACACTGCTGAGCACAGGGCTCAGCTCTGCTCCCCCGTGCCCATAAAGCTCCTCCTCGGAGCTGTGTGGAGCCCCCTGCACAGCCTGGCACACACACCCGAAGCCATGGGGATGCCCCCTCTGTGCCCCCATGTGTGACACGTCCCCATGATCGTGACTGTCACCGTGTGGCACCTGGCAAAGCTCACAGGTCACTCGTGTGCAGACTTGGCACCAGGAGCCTTGGGGGCTTGGTCCAGTGAGCCATGAGCACAGCCTGGCCTCACATGAGTGTGACAGCCCTGTGCCCTCACACGGGTGTGACAGCCCTGTGCCATCACGAGTGTGCCAGCTGTATGCCGTCATGTGTGTGACAACCCTGTGCCCTCACACGGGTGTGACAGCCCTGTGCCATTGTATGTGTGCCAGCCTTGCACCACCCCATGAGTGACCCAGCCCTGCAAGGCCACGTGAATGTCCCATGCCAGCCTGGTGCTGTCACATGGAGGGTCTCAGCCTTGTGCTGTCACATGGGTGTTCCCCCCTCACACAGACCCTGAGTGCCATGGCCACCCTCACCCTGTCTGAAATATGACAATGTGGCCCATCCTGCTCCCGTGTGCCATGTGTCACCCTCACACTGTCACCTGTGTCACACCACAGCCCATCCTGCTCCCATGTGCCACCCTCTCCCCATCACACATGTGACAACATGGCCTGTCCCACTCCTGTGCCCATGTGCCAACTTTGGCCTTGCCACATGTCATGCCACAACCCGTTCTGCTCGCATGTGCCACTCTTGCCGTGTCACATGTGTCACACCACAGCCCATCCTGCTCCCATGTGCCACCCTCACCTTGTCACATATGTGTGAAAACGTGGTCTGTCCCTTCCCGTGCCCATGTGCCACTTTTGTGCCATCACACACATGTGACACTGCAGCCCATCCTGCTCCCCTGTGCCAAGTGCTGCCCTGGCCCTGCCACATGCGTGTGACACCATGGTCTGTCCTGCTCCAGTGTGCCAGGTGCCACCCTCATCCTTGTCACACGGGTGTCACACTGCAGCCCATCCTTCTCTCGTGTCCCATGTGCCACCCTGGCCCTGTCACACGTGTCTGGCGCCGCAGCTGGTGCTGCTCTCCTTGCCAGGAGTCACCCCTGTGACACCCTGTGCCATCCCAGTGCCACCCCGGTGTCACCCTGCCCTGTCCGGGGGTCCCGTCCCCGCAGCCGCCCCCCCCCACTCCGTGCGCGACCCCGGCCCGCAGGAGGGGGGGGGATGGCTGCGGGTGCGCGCGCACGAGAGGCCGCGGGAGCGCGCGCGGCGCGGGGGCAGCTGAGGACAGGGGGGAGGGAGGGGAGGGAAGGGAAGGGGGGAGGGACCGCGGGGCCGCGCCCGCCCCTCTCCCCGCCCGCCCCCTCCCCGCGTCTGTCGCGTCGCTCGGGCCCGGCCCGGCCCGGCCCCGGCGCCTCATTGTGCTTCGCCTCACGCCGGCCCAAGATGGCGGCGGCGCCCGAGAGCCCCGCGAGCCGCCAACGACAATAGAGGGAGGGACGGGACCCACCGCCCCCCCGGCACCGGCCGCCCCTCCCCGCCGCTCCCGCCGCCCCCCGCCCGCCGCACCGCGCCCACGCCCCCGGCCCGGCCCGGCCGCCGCACCCCGCCCCGGCCGGCCCCTCTAGCATGGTGCGGGGCCGCCGCCGCCTCGTCCTCCGGCTGCCGACATGGGCGAGAGGCTGGAGCTGCGGCTGAAGTCGCCCGTGGGAGCCGAGCCCGCCGTGTACCCCTGGCCGCTGCCCGTCTACGTGAGTATGGCCCGGCCCCGCACCTGCCCCGCGCCCTGTCAGCGCCCCCGGCCCTGCCCCGGCCCTGGCAGCCGCCGGGCGATCCCTCAGCGCCGGCCCTTCCTGGGATCCGTCGGGATGATCGCCCCCCGTGAGGGAACCCTCCCGCAGCCCCGGCCCCGGGTGCCGCCGCTGCTCGCCTGGAAGTCAAATCCCCAATTTCATTTTATAATTGGTTGACTAAACCGAAGGGCGGGGAGGAGGAGGACTGGTTAATGAAAAGTTTTCGTGTTTTCCTCGCGCTGGGCTCTTGTAGCTGGTTAATAACCGGTGCTGCTGCGAGCGGGGTGGAATCCAGGGATTCTGGATGGGGGAATAGCGCTTAAATTATGGATGGCCTCGGGTGGTCGTGGGGACCCCAGGACCAGCCGCAGAGGGGGAATAAACAGCGGCCAGCGGCGCTTGTGGGTCTGGAGCTGCCGCCAGTTCCCCTCCAGCCGTGCCCTTGGAGCTCCCCTTTTATTTATCCCGAGTAGAATTCGAGCCAGCCGCAGTCCTCGTGCTTCCAAATAAAATGTCACTTGTCCTTGCTTAGCTACCGCGCGGCGTTTTTCCCTAACTTGCCTGACTTTCTCCCGAGCCCGGACGAGCGATGTGTGACCTTGATAACAATGTCCATGTTCAAATTAGTGACAATCCCACGAGAGGCGAAAGGCTCCGGGGAGGGTATTTTTGGATGTGTGTAGGCTTCCTATCAACCCTTGAGCAATTTCTCTCCCTAACTGCGCGTAGTCCCTCGGAGCACAGTTTGCAAAGGCAGAACGTCTCTCTATATGTTTACTTGGCGCAGGCACTGTTGATTATCCCTGCGTTCCAGGCTGTGCTGTTGTACGTGAGCCGTTTCCCGGCGAGAACACGCTGGGACGCACAGGCTGGGGCAGCTGATACTGCTGATGTTGTTGCTCGCTTTTGGCAATCGCTGCTTGTGTGTGAGCGATTAGGAATATATCGCTCGTGGCAGGGGGAGACGGCCGCCTGCTCCTATCTGCCGCCTGCCTTTCGGGGGCTGCTTTTCCAAAACATCCTCCATGCAGTGCTGTTCCCGGCTTGTCTCCCAGCACACACAGTGGTTAAGCGCAGCCTTTCCTGTTTGGGCAGCTCTGTCAGTGTTGGCGGGCGCGCGCTCCACTCAAATTGTCAGAAACTGAAAGTACAAGCGATGACCGGCTTCGGTTTTCCTCGCCAAATATTAACTCGTGTCCCCCCCTCCCCTCTCCGAGCGGGTTGTGTGAAGCGGAGGTTAAAGATTACGCGGGATACGGATTGTTCTGGGAGGGAGGGATGGTTTTATGTCTGTTCACAGAGATTGCTACGGGCTTGAAAACTGAAAAACCGGACCCCCCCCCGCCCTTTATTTTAAGGGTGAAACGTGTGTTTTGCAGCATGGGAAATAAGGATTTAGTCGATTTGGGGAAACTTGAGCAGCTGGTTTTGAGGATGGCAGAATAAATAGAATTTTTTCGCAGTTAATCAGAAATGCGGATGGTGGTGGTGGTGGTGGTGGGCGGGGGGGGAGGGGGCTGTTATCCCCCCACGTACTGCGAAATACCACAAACCCCAAACATCCTGCCCTTAACCCGTCCGCTGGGCACCGCCAGCCTTTCCAGAGCCATTCCCGAGTGGATGTTCCCCCGGGAGCCGGGCAGCGAGCGGAGCGCTGCGGCCAAGGCGTGCTCGCACACACGCACTCCCCTGCTCCGGCTGAGCCCTGGGGCTCTGCAAACAAATCCCCGTGCCCGTGGCTGCGCTTGGCCTGCTGACATCGTGCTCTGCTGAACTGCAGCCGCGCTTTCCCCGCGCTGGCGCGGCCCCGAGCTGCCGGCACAGCTCGGCTCGCTTTGACGTAAGCAGAACATTTCTTAGTTTCACCGCCCGTGCTGCCGAGGAAGCAAGGTGGGATAGCCGAGAGGAGGGAAAATAAAAAAAAACCCCACACCATGCTGATTCAAGGAGTTTTATTTAGCAGCGTTCTGGTCGCTTCCTGTTGTACTCTGTGCGATGTGTTTTCCGAGGGAAAGGGAACGGGAAACTCAGGTTATTTTTGGTGAGAGCAGCAGCAGTGGCGCGGAGTCATCTTTCCCAACATCCGAGGCTCCGTAGTGTGAACCTGCTGCGTGCCCGGGCTCCGCGGTGTGATGTAACCCTGCCTTGAGTAACTTGGCTATTTTTATGCCCTTACTACATCTTAAATTAGCGGCGTCAGTGTTGCTGCGTTGAAGGCTGGTCTCTCCCATTAATGGACGCCTGCGTTAATACCGCGTCTCTTTATTGCTGGGCTGCTGTATAATAGGAAAAGTGGGGTCTCTCCAGACTGCTGAGCCCGGATAATAGCCCGGCTGACAACCCGGCGCTTGTTGGGATGCTAAAAGAGCCGGGGAGGCTGATGTGAAACATGTATTTCCCTGCGAGTCTAATTAGGGCCGTGGGAGGAGAGAGAGCGGCGGCGGCGGTGCAGCTCCAGCCTCCCACTGGCTCCCACACAAAACTGAAAGTGCGGCTCCTTCCCCCGCCTTCCGCCGCCTCAAAGGAAAGGCCACGGTGCCCTAATGAAGCCGTGGTGAGCCGTGCTGGCCGTGCCACACTGTGATGAGTAAGTTGAATAGTGCATGGTGAGTAATCTCTCCTCATGACTCACAAAATATTTTCTGATGTTGACCTCTGTTTTTGTGACTGCCCCGCTTAATCAGAGCTGAAGTGAGTGTACTCTTTTGTAGGCTGGTTAACTCCTCGGCTCCCACATATCTGCCCCACTTTTTGCTGGTGCCAGGTTGTCAAGAGACCCAGGGATATGGTGTTTAAATTTTAATTTTGGCACTACGAAAGATACAGGCCTGGATAAAGGAAGTGTTTGGGTGATAGACCAGAGTTAATGGATCTAACTGGTCTTAATTAGGCTACTGCTGTTGGAGGATGGCATTTTCAGTCACACTTCAAGTGTTGCTAAGCATAACTTGGTACTCACATTTAGATCTGAAGGGCATAAGGGGTGAAGTCCCCTTGTGTAGTTTTAAGACTTGCAGATATTTAGTTGTTTCCCCTGAGAATTTTTCCTGAAATGGTTCATTCTTGTCTCTGACTTCTACTATAGTTAAATTTGAATATGAATTAGGTTTAGATTGGAGATTTTTTCGTTTTATACCACAGTATAAAGTGGAGATTTTTCATTTTATACCACAGTAAGGCCTGCCTGCTCTATGAGGTGTCTCAGGCTGTACTTTGAACTCCTGACAAGTTCCTGTGTAGAGTGGCAGGCTGTTGTGTGTGCAGGAGGAGAAAGGGGTGGGGGTGTTGTGGGGTGGATCAGCTCTGCAGCCTGGTCTGGCAGGGTTCTGCTGATAAATCTGTGGCACCAGGGAGGGATTGCTTGCACAGAGAGCTGAGCAACAGGAGGTTCAGAGCTGCTGAAGCTGATAATTGTCCCCAAAATTGACGTTTGCTGGGCTGCACCCTATTGCAGCAGAGAATGAATGTGGAAAAGCCTGTTTGCAGTGTGTCAGAGAGAGGAAGGACACTGTGCTTCATTCATTTTGCTCTCCTTAGGGCCTGCACTGCAGGTTGGCAGTGCTCAGTGTCCCTGGGCACAGGAGGCACAGGCAGGTGCTGAGGGCTGTGCAGGGCTCTTGTGGCACCCTGTACTGTCCCTGCTGTGTTCAATAGGCTGCCAGTCCCTTCCAGGTCCAGAATGAGCCATGTGCCTGTTGAGCTGTGATCCCTGCTGGGTGCCATTCCCTTGGAAAGCCCTACAAGTGTCCATGTGCACCAGGTTGTTGTGGGTTGTGTTCCCCTCTCCCTGTGGGACTTGGGGGGCTGAGCTGTGGCAGCACCTGGGAACTCCTCCTGCAGCCCCTGGGGATGCCAGCAGGGTTGTGCTCTGGGTATGGGATCACAGGGTCATGGAATGGTTTGGCTGGGATGAGACCTTAAAGCCCATCCTGTTCCACCCCTTCCACTGTCCCAGGTTGTTCCACGCTGGCCTTGGACACTTCCAGGGATGGGGAAGCCACAGCTGCTCTGGGCACCCTCTGCCAGGGCCTCACCACCCTCATAGCCAAGAATTTATCTTCTGCCCTAGTTACCATATGGTAATACCATTTTTTTTTCATTTACCAATTTTATTCCCTTCTTCCAGCCTTTGACTCTGTCCCAGGAGGGGACAGTCCTGGTTGTGCCACTGTGCACATCTTACCAATATTACCAGGCTGAGGTACCCTGAGCTGCTGGAGCTTAAACCTCCAAATCAGCACCTGTGATAAGAAGTCTGGCTTGAATAATTAATTTATTTGTTTGTGTTCCTCATTGTTACTGCTGACTTTCCACTCAGCTGTGATGGCAAGAAAATTCTCATTTTCTAATTGAGTGTTGTCAGAGCATCACCCTGCACCTGGAGGTGTTTGCGTGGCTGCTACTGGGAGTAATGGGATACAAGCTTCTTACTACTAGATTTTGTACAGGTGGGAGGGTGCAGGGTGTGGGTTTTGGTTATTTTTTTCCCTTATCCAGCTGATACCATTCTGTCACCAAAGGAATGTGCTGTGCTGTGCAGGGAGACCTCAAGGGCAGGGAGTGTTAATGAAAATCACAGCCCAGAGGGGATTGTCACCTTTGAAATTAAAGATCAACGGTGGAGATGAATAACAAACCTTGTCTGAGAATTTAATCCTCTTTTTTTGGTGCGTGTCACTCAGCTTTCCTGGGAAGAGTTTCTGTGCTGCCTGCCTTTGACTTCCCAGGATTGGAGGCAGGTGTGGGAGTGCCATAGGATGGTGCTGTAGGTGATTTTGGGAAGGAGCTAAATTGTTCCCTTGGGGTTGGAGCTGCCCTGCTGCTGAGGGTGGTCTGTGCATCCTTCCCTCTGCCACAAACCCATCCCATGGGCTCCTTATTCACACAGAATCACAGAAATTCTAGGCTGGAAGACACCTGTAAGGTCATCGAGTCCAACCCATGTTCTAACACTTCAA